AATATAGATTGATGCTTAATTACATAGCGAAGAAAATTAAAAGAAATTTTTTATTAAAATTTGATAAGAAAAATCTTTTTTAGAAAATATTTTCAATTAGTATTTGAATGACCAGAAATTTTTATTTTCATAGTATTATCTTAGTATTGATGCATGATTTTAACACTAACGACTTTGCACTTTTAAAATGCGAAGAGATCACAAGTGAGATTATTATAGTAAATGAGTGAGATATTGTTTTCACAGTAGCATGCAAAGACATAAATAATAAAGGAGACAATAAGGTTTTTATAGTGGTTCAAATGCTTAAAGAGAATTCTATATCCACTGTTTTCTTTTATATTTGTATGTTCTTGGTCGTTAACCAAAATTACAAGAGGTCGCGAACTGCGATCTGGTATTACAAGTGTTTGGTGTTTTGAGTGTTCTTAGAGAACGTCAAGCTAGTCTTTTTCTAATAGTATGTCTTTACTATTTTCTTTGTAAAATTTAAGAGTGTTTGATCTCGATTTTGTGAGTGGGAGCTGCTTATTTATACCGCAAAAATCAAGGTAATAATTACACTTTTGCAAGTGAGTTGATGTCGTGCAAGTCTCTCCTGTCTTCTTATTCGTTGAGAACTCAAAGAATATCCTTAAATTAAATGGAGCTTGGGTAGGTGTGCGAACCAAATTTATTCATAGACAAATATTTGAGTCGACTGGGTTGTTGACAGCTATATTTTTTCTGTCCTTAGAGACGTGACAGGTTCTGGACGGTGAAAAATCTTCCTAAACTCTGATCGGTGCTCGTTGACATCAGTTTAGGTCCGCCCTTATTTTAGGCATAACACTTAGTTAATGTAATATTAATTTATTGAATTCATTTTGTTTTCAAAATTCTGAAAAGTTGTTGCGAAAATACGGTTCTTTGAACTTGAAAGACGGGTGTGGGAAGTATTAATAAAAGTGCATACAACCCCACACAATAAGTGATATAAATATATATGTAGAAATAATTTACCCATAGAGTACACAAAATTTGAGTCTTAAAATAGAAAAAAAAATTATTTAGTGTTTATCACTAAAAACAGTAATAAATAATGCACGAAACGGTTTCAACCTTTGAATATATGCTCAAGATGAGTTGAAGAAAAGGTTTTAAAACATAGAAGTTGTTGAAGGGAATATAAGTTAGCATAGTGAAAAATTGTAAGTAGAAAGATTTTCTTTAATTATGTGACTCTAATGTGATAAGAGCCACATGCCATTTGGATTGCTCAGCCATTTAAAAATAATAATTATAAATCTATATTCTAATTTTCGTATGCATATGCAAATTGATGTCTTGTTATATTATTTATCTATATATATATTTATTTAATTTAAAATAGTTTCCCAAGTGAAAACAAACGGGTATAGGCATGGCAATGCTTCCCCAGAATTATGGGGACTTGTCCCGCCTCGCCCCATGTGGGGTGAGGAAGCCCCGATTTTTTCGAGGATAGGGGCAGGGGTGGGTGATGCCTCTCCCCCGCCTCGCCTTGCCCCATCCAGCCCTACCCCGTATATATATACATTTTTCACTAATACTCTTATATTTCACCTAATTACACAATTATCTTACCTATATAAACCTATATTATGTTTTCATAAGGAGAATCTAGGGAAATGCTCAAATTTATGTTTATGTAAAATTAATTATATTTAAAAGATTAATTTAAGTGTTAGTCATGTAGACGAGAATTAACTATTATATTTGGTAATATTCAAATTAATTTGTGTTTATGTAAAATTAACGAGGCGGGGAAAAGGAATTCATGTCATCCCCGTAACGGGGATGGGGAGTGATTTTGAGGGCGAGGATGGATACGGCGAATGAGATCCCCACCCCACCCTACCCCACTGCCATGCCTAGACGGGTAGAGATATAAAAGGAAACTATCATGGTCGAGCGCGTTGGACAACCACCGCCATATGCGAAATAGAGCAAGTTTCACGTTTTGAAAATGGAAAGGTAGCTACGATTTATGATTAATTATTTTTTTCTCTCTTTTCCCTTCATTTATGGTAAATTCTGCCTATGCTGTGCATGGTTCGAACCAACCAGATTAATTAGTAATCTCCAAATCCATTTAAATTAGGTTGAATCAGTTTCAAACTTTTTTTTTAATACTTAAATACTACTTCAAAGTAAAAAAAAAAAAAACGATATTATCATTATACATTTATTTATATAATTACATATCTAACTTAATTATATGAAAAGAAAAATATTTTAATTCCATTCGGGTTTATATTTTTAGATGTGATAATAAATCCATAAGACAATCCGTTTCATTTTGATCCGGTTTGGATTTTCTGGTATATTGCACATCACTAAGGGGGGGTTTAGTTAGGGGTTATGTGGGATTATTGGGGTTAAATCATCTTATATTACTTTATTACCATGTTTGATTGTCAAGTAATATAAGATACCGATAATCTTCAAATACCAATAGTGGTTACTATTAGTAATATTGGAGGTAATCTGATTACCTCTATTTTCTTAGGTATTATAAGATTACCAAGGTTATATTTTTTTGTTACAATTTTATCCCTTATTAATAAAATTTTAGGACAATAATGCCCTTATTTTTGAATTTATTTACATGAATATAGCTTTTAATATTTCACTCCAATTAATTAACTTTTTGGACAAAATTACTCTTAAATTCAAAACAAATTACAGCCCACCCAGACCACCACCCCCACCCACCTGCCGCCGCCGGAATGGCGCACGGAAGGCCGAAAATGGCCGTTGTGCGTCGGTATGGCCATTTTCGGCCAGATATCTGGCCGAAAATGGCTAGATCATGCCATATCTAGCAGTCAACGGCCATCGATATGGCTGTTGACTTCCAGATTGATGGCCATTAACGGCAACATTTGTGGCCATTAACAGCCATCGATCTGGCCGTTGACGACCAGATCTGTCACATTTGGCCATTTCCGGCCAGAGATCTAGCCGGAAATGGTCATACGACGCACGGAGGCCATTTCTTGTGTTCCATGTGCCGTTAGGTTGTCGGCTGCCTACGATGGTTGTCGACGGTCGGTAATGGCTGGGTTGGTGAGGGTGCTTTGTTGATTTTTCAAACTTTTATTATAGGGTTATTTTTTCTAAGTTTTTAAATGTGGGGGGGTTGTAATAATCCAAATAATAATCAATATTAAAAAATAATATGATAATAATATTTAATTAGAAGACAATTCGGTAATTTAAATAATATACCCACCAATTTATTTCTCCCAACCAAACATATTAATACAACATACTCACCAATTAACCAAACACATTTTCTTAAAGATTCCAAATAATCTTTAAGATAATCTAACTTTCCAGTAAACTAACATTTTCAGTGATCCAATATTTCTAATAATTCAACATTCCCTAAACCAAACACCCTCTAATGGTCTAATTTAACTTACGGTCTGATATGAAATTATCAATCATATTCATACCGGCTCATCTATAAATACGTGTGAATGCTAATTGTGACAGTGGACTAGATAAGTAAAATTATATTAGAAGAATTAAAACCCACTTAGAATAATCCAGTGACTGTACTACGAGTTATTTTCCAAGTCACCATAGAATTTAGAGGCACGTTTCACTGTCCCATAATCCTCAAACTCTTAAATCGGAGAAAAAGCATTAACAAATGGTCAAATGCTTGCTTCTATACAGAATTCAAAGGCAAAATCGGTGATTCAACCATACATATGGTACAGTAATTCTGGTGAATCTTCTTGTGGGGGAAACCAAAAAAAAAAAAAAAAAACAAGGGGAACAAACAAAAATTAAAGAGAAATACAACATGATCTTCAAGGCCAATATGGAATGTTTCTCAAACACTAGAGCACATTAGTTCAATAGCCAAATAATGGCTTTTACATGTTAGTCAGAAGATACAACCGCACTACCACTCAAAACCATTAGGAAAGAAGATAGAACTAATCTAAACAACAGAAAAAAGAATAGCAGCTCCAGCAAAAGGTCTTCATTACAAGTGTAGGTTCAGAGATGAATTGATTTTAAGTAAATTGGTTATGCCTAGCTAGACATCATCACATGATCGATCGACTGTAGGGCTTGATTGGCAAAGAAGCGGACATCAACATCAGGATCCTCACCAAGCTCAACCAAGCTTGGACGTATTGTCTTCTCCACCACCTATTACAATTATTCAGACCAGGTGATGAAAAAAGACTTAGTGCTATTGGTACATAAACAAATGAGGTAATTAAAAAAAATAAAAAAAACCGTAAAAAAATACATACCGACTGGTCTACAATCGGAATGAGAGACTGCAGCACCTTTGCAACATTAAACTTTATGTTGGGTACTCTGTAAAAGTGATTCAGTTCAACAATCAGAAACCAACTATAATAGATCATTGATATTTGATCAGCAGGTTTCACAAGTCAAGATACCTGTCTTTTGATGCAAGTACGACCACTGGCAACAATTTAGAACAAGTGATATCTGATCCCATAACAGGGGCAAGCAGAGAGACAGCACGCAAAATGGTCATCCGATACAAATAATGGGGATTGTTAACCATATCCAACACCTGCAAAATGACTAGTCAACTTCCACTGCTTCCAAAAAAAAAAGAAAAAAGAAAAAAGAAAAAAGGAAAGGAAAGCCATTTAATGTGGACTTGTGAACAAAAAATGATTTCTCAATTGATTTCAGTTGAATTTCACAATTTTCAAACGTGAAGGGTCTCTATTGTGTTTATGAATAAAGGGTTTGTGGGCAGTCAGCAGCAGTTCAAAATCATTACACAAACCTGTGGAACTATGTGCTGCATTGCCCAATCAGGACCAAATTCTTCGGCAAGGCGCTTTAAATTGTTAGCAGCAGCATCACGAATAGAATAAACCTGCAGCAAATACCTAGGTGAAACAGTTGCCAGAATCGCAAATCCCCATATGTCAATGTCATTGTGCAGGGAAAAACATTACACACGAAGTACAGTTAGCCTTAATATTAAAATTCAAGCAGGAATTTCTTTGTATTGGCAATTCTACATGTGATACCAGATGCAAACAGTAATGTGATTCATCACATTCTGTAGTGACGACAAACTTATTTCCATTGGGACATCTATAATGGTGCCAATATAACAAATTCCAGTTAATTCGGAGTGAATTGTAACAGATCCCAAAAACTTAACAGTTACACATAAACATGAAACAGAAAAAAAGTTGCTATGAGACCAAAAGAACAAATAAGGAAAACTGTCCAGAATGTAAACAAAAAGATGGTAAGAAACCTTTATTCTCAGCTATTGCCATACAAGATAGGAAACACAAACCTTATCCTGTAACCACTGCATACAAAGAGCACCAAGTTTATCATCAAAAAATCCTACACCCAACTGGCTGGCCAATAAAGGTATATACTCTATTATTGCAAGACGAACCCTCCAATGTCTATCCTCGGCAAGTTCAACGATGGCAGGTAGTAAGGATTGAGACAATAGATCAATTCCAATAACCTGCAAGAGAGAGGAAAGTAGAACACTCATAACACGGTTACAAGAGCAATTTGCTGACAGCATGAGAATTTTGTAGCATAAATATAAGAGTAAGCCATAAGGGTAAACTACATAGTTGCTGCAATAACCATCCCTTGGAATACTAGTGTGATGCATTCAAGAAATTGTTCTCAACCAAAAATATTCAAAGAAGCAGTGAATGACAAAATAAGTGTTTTTTTTTTTTTTTTTTATCCCATTTCTTACAAGTATACCTTTAACAATCTATAGTGGAATTAAAAATTAAGATAAAATGGGGAAAAAAAAAATTAAACTGCAGGTTGACTAGTTGCATTATTTGAATTTTCCAACTGCACATCCGCATATCCCTTGATATCCACTTCAAAATTTGAAAAAAGTAAAAGTCAAAAATTCTGAAATTCATGCACACAATTGTGATCTAATCAACATGCCATAACTCATAAATCATATCACTATTTATTCTAGAATAAGTTGTTAAGGAGTTTTACCTCCTGGGTAGCGCCTCCTAGTACTTAATTTTGTAGAAAGCATGCAGTACTGGGAGGCAATAAGAAGGCTATTGTGTTAGGGAATTGTACCACTATACAATCTTTGGTTTTTGGTTTGAAAACAATGAGGAGATTTGTAAAGTTGAAGTAAAGACTTTTTCTTTGTGAGACAAAGTGAAGCTTTGTGCTTCTCTATGGGTGTCTACTTCTACTGCATTTCAGGAATTTTTTTTGTTTTATTACACCCAAAAAAAAAAAAAAAAAAAAAAGCAAAAGAGAGATTAAAAGAAGTAATTTTTTTTAATTATTATTCGATATCATATGCCATTATGCTAGTAACTTAACAAATGCTTTAAGTGCACTTCTAACTACTAAATTCCCTATCGTATTCTATGTTACACACATGTTTTATACCATTACACCATACAATTTTCATCTGTTTGATATATCGCAATTTTTCAATCAAGAACCAAAGAAATAGCTACACAAATTAATAAATAGGAGTGAAACCTTTAAAGATGCAACAAACCTGGTTCACTTGATCAAGCTTGCTGATAATATTAAGTCGCACATCAGGAAATTCATCCTTCAAAAGAGAGAGAAATATCGGAAGAAGATGCTCGATTGTTGCATCCTACACAAACCATCAAAATCAAGAAAAAAGTTCAGTGCATGCAAATTACACCAACATGCATTTACACAGTAGGAATATAAATAAATATTTAGAGATAAAAAATGCAGATCTAAAAATCCTTGATTGGTTACATGCAAGCTTACAGACTGCGTGTGAGCATACAAGTAAAAGGTAATGCTTGACAACTTTATCGACTTTTTAAATATCAGAGACTGATGCCAAGCAATATCCAAATTTAAATTTAGAAAATGTGACTAAATTGATAGAGGAGGGGGTGTGAACTAAATCCAATTAGAAGAAAAATACATGGCCGTATTTGTAAAAATATGGCCCCAGGAATCCAGAGCCATATCTACCTTAACAGAAGCTAATTGATTTGTCATCAACAAAATGCTTCCCCACTAGAAACTAACTTAATTTTGCAAGTAACAGTGCACCAACATGCATGTAATCAACATTGACAAATTCATCCAAACCTCCCTACCAAGGGATAAATGCAAATACACTATATGATATTTTTACCTTCCCTAGAACGGGGGCCATCCCCATTATTACAGAAGCCAGAGCAGAGCGGACATGCTGGGAAGAATCTGATGACAATTCCTGTCAAAGGTTATTGCAATATTTAGATAGCTGATATCAAACGAAAAAATAGGTTAATAGTCAGTTCCTACGGGATATCCCCAGACATCGTTTGGTAAGGAACATCAAGTTTCACTAAAAAAAAAAATGATCACCTTCACACAGGGAAGAATATGTTGAATCGCAAGTTCTGGATTTAGAATCCGGCAAAACTTAGTTACTTTGCCAGCAGCTGCTATACGTACTTCAGCTTCATTATCTCGAAGTAATCGCACATATGCAGGGACCAAGTCCGTCCTAAGAAAACAACCATAATGAATTCAAAAACCTTTTTTTTTTTTTAACTGAAACAAAGAAGATGTATATATGTGTATGTATAGCAGGTTGTTCAAAAAAGCAAAAAACTCAATCAACAGACCAAAGACTAACATCAATCAACCAAACCATACACAGAAGTGATTCTTGCGCAAAATATTGCAGCCATAAAGGTATATACCCATTAAATATCTAGGGTAATAAAATATGAGACATTGAATATGACAACAAGAACTAGATATTACATAGCATAAATATAATCAATACAGCAGTCAAAATAATGCTAACTTGCAGAAGCAAATAATAGTTTCTCCAGAATAGATAGATACCTAGTAGGCTCAGGCCCCACAGCTTCACAAAGTTCATATAATTGATTTGCAACCATGTAGCGCACACGCCATGACTTATCCTGTACAGAAGCCATAAACATCAGAGCACAGAATCAGCAATCATACCGGGGTCCTTATAATCATCACACAATACTTTTCCATAAGCATCAGGCATAAAAATCACACCAATAGCTTTAGAAGGAAAAATATCATAAATCCTGAAATAAATAACACTAATAGTAGATGCTAAGATCTCTCCAAAGGGTAAGGAATCCATTCAGACTACGGCATAGAACGTATCCAACAAAAGCTCATGATAATCTTATATCTGTTGACAACAAAACTATAAACAATACTCTAATCATCAGGTAGTGGATAGAGAGACTGTTCTAACTTGATCCAACATCTTTTCCAAACTTGTATTTCTATTGCAAATATCTCACATCCTAAATAACCAAAATGAATGAGTGCGTGGTTATAACCACATGATCATATATTTCAACATGTCATAAGAAACATTACATTATGGGGAATATATCAAATTTTGCCAAGAAAATTGTGTTCAACACCAGTAACTACTTCTTAAATGATGCACAAGAACTCAAAAGAACACCAGACAGCAAATTGGCATTGAGCCAGACATGCAATTAGGAAACAAGAACCAGAACAACTTGTACCTGAGAGAAATTTACTATAACAGGGAGAATATGTGCAACACAATCCTGAGGCTCCAACAACTTTCCAAGAGCTGCACAACCCTCAACAGCCAATAGTCGTACAGAATCTTGATCTGCAATAAATATAAATACAAACTTGGTATGGGAACTCGTATATGATTACAATCTTAAAATATAACACAAAACTAGATAACTAATAGCCAATCCAAGGTCTACATAGAGATTCTATGAAGAAAGATGCGCTTATATGAGCAAACACGCAAAAATATCACAAGGACTTCAATAGATGCCATAATTTTATGCTTAAGAACAGCAGTAGAAGCTTTCAATTAGACAAGTAACCATCTGTCCTAGCTTATGCTCCATTTGTAGCACATAAAAATCCCTAAAACACCTTTTGCTAACACCCACGGTCTCACCTGGTATGATACCAAGGAATGCTGGCTCAATCTGACCTTACATAACCTTATAATATTGTGAAAACAGTTTTACGTTGTCAAACCATCATATATGCGACACCTTAAGAGCAAGGTTGATTTTTTCAGACAAGTAAACCATCTGAGCCAGATTATAATTCAAAACTAGATCACAGTGATTATATTAAGGCTTGCAATGATCAAAAAGATTCTCCCAAACAGTCCCTAACATTGTCTATCCACCTATTTGATCAACTGCACATTCATTTGAATTGCCTTCAAAACTGACTCATGGTCCAGTGTTTAATGTGACAAACATGTTTCCTCACCAAAGCATTTTTGAGTCTCTCGAAAATTCTTTTATAGCATTTGCAGAACCTTTGACCAAAACCCAGGACTTCATCCTTCTCTTAACATGAATCAATGGCCGCAATATTGAAGCACTATTCATTTAACCTAAGCTAATGAATGCAAGATCAAATATTTTGTGTTCAGTTTTCTACATCAACAAGAAATAAGATTTCATACTTTCTAGTTCAGGCAAAACATCCATCTAATGTAGTTTTAACAAAGTTTTACCAGCTTTACTCACCAAGAATCAAGCTTTTTCCCAGGCAGGTAGAATGATGCTAAATCAATAACATGATTTTCATTATTTATTTTAGGACATACTTATTTGAGTTGAATTTAATTTTTCCTAATTGGGTTTTCTTGTTTGGGTATGATTTGAGTTTCTTGTTCAAGTAGATTTTTTCTTTTTCTTTTTTTTTGAGTTGGCTACTATAAATTAGTCTTTAAGTTATGCTTTTATAAGAAATTGATATTGATTTCTCTTTTCTTAATGAAAATCAAGTTTCCACCTCATGTTTATCTTATTTTCTTCTCTTCTCAACTCTTTCATCTTCTCTCTCATTTCTCCTTCAATCTTTCTCTCTCTTTGTTTTATTCTCCCTATCCGCATCAGGATGTTTTTTAGTTGGAATTCGGTTGCTACAATATATTCAAATTATACTCTGCATATTCTACCCAAATACAATAAACTTTGTCTTCAAACAAATTCTCAATTTTTAAAGTTGTATTTGCTGAATAGACTGCATCTAGTATGCTGTCATGCGTCTTAAAATTCACTTCCCAGTCCTCAATATTCTTAGCCCTCCTATATAAAGTGACTGATATCCTATCAAACAATTGAAAAGGATAGACAATATGCTCTACACATCAAAGTCGTAGTAGATAATAGATTACCATCTTGTGTAAGATCCTCAAATATTGACATGATGTCAGTCTTCAAATGAGCAGGTTCAACAGTTGCAGCAAATTTCCCTAGATTTGTTGCAGCAGATCTCCTAACCATGGGCATGTCATCTTGGCACAACTGGGTATATATTGACCGCAACTCTGTCTTCAACATATCTGGGGCACTTGGGTAGGCAATGTGGAACAGCCCACAAACAGATACTCGAGCTGTAAACCATTCACCAGCTGCCAGTCTCTGAGGATAAGAAGTAAACCATGTAGCGGCCAAAAACAGAGGAAATAATAAAATTGCCATAGATAAGGAACTAACACACGCGTAAACAAGCATGCAAACAATTACACAGTAAATAATCGTATTTCCCCTATGAAGCTATTGCAATATTAAAAATTTGAAAAAAAATTCTTGATACAAAGATCCTTGTAAAAGGCAACAGCATTGCAAGTTACTCCTAATCTGCAATAATAGACTTCCCTCTTATCTATTTCTTTCAATGAATGACACTATTCCTAAGATGACAGCTCAACAATGTCGTAATAGCACAAGCATATCGCTGAGAGATTATGACAGCTGAAAATAGAGTTCAAGAATTCAAGGTGCAGAGTTTTTCTAGTTCAAGAATTCAAGGTGCAGAGTTTTTCTAGATATCTAAGCACAGGCTTTCTCCTAAACTGAAATAAAGTGACCAATTTTAAGGCAATGAAGACATACTTGCAAGCATCAGCAATTATATCACTTGAGCGCGGAAGAAAAGCAGAATAAACTACCAACTTAATTAACCAAACATAAAGGAGCAGCAATATCTAACCTTAACCAGAGGAATAAACCAGTCAACCAAGTCACTCTCCCTCATCTGTGACCCAATCCGACAAAGAGACTCCACAGCTTTGTCCCTGACACAGGTCTCCTCGACAGTGCAAAGTGTCTCCAGAGGTGGGAGCAAAACATGGGCATGTTCAACTCCACCAACATATGGAATAAACACCCCCAACTCTTCAGCCATTGCAAGAAGCACCTCATCGTCGTCGTCATTGTTTTCACTCAAAAAGGGAATTAATTCCTTCCTTGTCCGCTCCTCCCCAAGAGCACGTGCAATTGTTGACAATCTACGGATCGAGTTCAACCTAAGCTGGATGTCATCATTTTTCAGCTCGTCTATGAGGACAGCTATTGGGTATAGTGGTTCATCAACCATAGACATTGTGTCAAATCTTTTTTGCAAATCTCTTACAATCAGTTACCGTCACACAAGCACCTGCAAACTACCCAAATTAATCATCACAAATCCAACACGAGATTAACTAAGTAAACATAAATTTATCCAATTTCAGTTGTAGATAAAGTTTTCCAATGGGAGTAAGAAATTGAGATCAAATAAAAGCCATTTCGAACACTACAAGTATCGGATCCAAAATTTTCTGATTTATTATATTCAGACAGCTTTTATGCAATAAAAACGGCACGTAAAATAAAGTCACATGAAATCAAAACTTCGAGATCTGGGACAAACCCTAAAATTCAACTCCAGAAACTGCTAAGAAAATGAAAGTAAGAGACTGCACACAGATTTTAAATCCTAAAACCCCGATGCCGTGTTTGGTTGCAGAGAGAAACGAGAATGAGCGAAAATGAAAAGGAATTGATACTTTATTTTAATAAATGATCAAGATAACACAGGAAAAAAATATATATCATTCAAACTATCCCTAGTAAAACTAGTGGGCTCAACTGAATCCAGATTTTCTTTTAAAAATAATTCGGAAACAAGAGTAACTTAAATCATAAAATTCAAATTGTTAAATTTTATTTTTCATTTCTTTACCCCAGATCTTTTGGCAACCAAACGTCGGGGAGAATTCTAAATTTCACAACAAATAAATGAAATTTAAAATAAAAAGACGTCTGTTTATATCAAAGCAAAAGATGAAAAATGCTCTCACCGATCTTAAAGTCTTCCCGCCGGCAGTCTCCGATTAGAGAGAAAAGAGACTTATTAATGGATTTGTTACTTTTTGTAGCATTTCTTTGTAAACATCTACAGACTCAAGAAACTGGGCTATGATAATTTTCCCGTGGGCCTGATTTGGGCTGGAATAAAAAAAGCTGTGTCCCACCAATGACCGTAAAAAAAAAAAAACTCCATTTATATTTGTATTCAAAAATTTTATTTATATAGCACTTTATATTATAAAAATACACAAAAAAAAAAAATTATGAACATATGGAACAATAATATCATCAATTGATAATATCAAATTTTGTTGACGATTTTAAACATTATAGTTTTGCTAAATATTATATGAGTGTATATTATTTTCTACATAAAGAATATGAATATGTTATACACAATTTAGTTTATCAATCCGAATACTAAATAGAATTCCTTCCACAGATTAGTAGAGCACAGAGCGGCCTATCATGGGTGTGCTTAAACGACCAGCCGTGAGTTTAAGATGTACCATGTAGTGTAAAGATCATAGAATTACGACACATTTATAATTTGAATAATGCTACACCCATAATCTTTTTTCACAAACTTCATCTCACAATCCCGATGTAGCAGCTTATAATTGGTCAGTTCATAATGGACCTCACCTGAGTCCCACCTGATAAATTACAGTTGACTAATTACGAGCTTTCACGTCAGAATTGTGGGAGAAAGTTTGTGAGAAGAGATTGTGGATGTACCATTACTCTTATAATTTGAGCAATAAGTAGTGTTTTTTCTATATGGCAATAATATGTAAAATAAACAACATATAGCTGGCTAGTGGTTTGATGGAGACTCTTGTGTGTATTACTCAAAAAAAGTCTTGCGTTCGATTCCCTCTTCGATTGCAAATAAGGATAGTCATTAGAGCTCTTACCTAGCTAGTAATTTTAGAGTCCCAAGGGATTGGTTGAGGTAGGTTTTGAGTTCGAATCTCTCTTCGATTGCTAATAGGGATAATCATTAGAGCTCTTACTTGAACAATAGTTACAGAATCTCGGGAGATTAGTTGAAATACGTGTAAGTTAGTCCAGACACCCCAATCATTAAAAAAAAATGTAAAATATGTTGATTTGACAAATGACATGGATTAATCATATAGGATGACACATTTAACATTATCAAGTTTAATTTGTTAATAATGTTATAAAAAAAAAAAACCCAGTATTATATAAATAAAGTAATTGTCAGGGTTAATTCCTTGTAAAGATTTTGTATTTTAATATGAACAAGTGTTTTATATATTTACTCATTGCATGGGATGCGGGTGGACAGGTTAAAAGTGGATCCCTAAATAGTCCATTGGAATTCATCTTTGTTAATCTGTCTGCTTAAACCGTGACATCTTCAATGAAATATTGGAAATTGGAATAATGTCTCGCCCAGTGTAAAAGTATGCCTGCTAATTGTTAACTTTTGAAAACTCTTTTCTATTATCCTATTTAAAGTAAACAGTTAAAAAAACATGTTTGTTTTATTATCGACGGAATTCAATTCAAAATTAAATCATATTCTATTTGACTCAAAACATTTAATAATTATCTTTTACAATACAAGTTTATAAATTAACAAAAACACTCTTATCTACTCAAGTCATTATCGGCCACCAACAACCACTGTCAATCGCCAGTTCCCGACGTCGAAACGATGCACGATCGACTGGATTTGATCGATCGTGTACTAATCTATCCGTTTTCGGCCAAATTAGAGACCAGAGATTAGATACATGGTGGATCTGACCAGAAAATGCTAGATTGATACACAACCCGCCAGATCCAAACCAGTCGTGCGCCATTCCGATGATTGTCGGCCACCGTTCGACAGTGGTGGCTAGCTGCCTACAATTGCTTGGGATGGGTGCAGATGTCTTTGTTAATTTATAAATTTTTATTGTGGAGGGGTGTTTAGCTAAATTAACAAATGTAGGGGATAAAAATAATCTAAATATTTTTTTAAAATGTTTTTAAAAAATATACGAAAAATATTCTCAGAATCCTATCATATTTGAATATTCAGTCCTACGTTATCCTATTAAGAATAATTTTTTAGAATATCATATTTCAATAGCCCCATGGATATTTACTAGACATATATAAAACTGGCATTATTGGTATAAAAAGTCATTAGTCATGCGAAGGACAATAGTTCCATAAAAGGATTAAAAGAGATCAAAATTTTAGAAACACCCCACCACATTTCAAAAATTGCTGTGAGGGAGAAATAGATTGCTTCCCAATTATTGCTGTAAATGTTCATTAAACAAGTACATTTTGTTTTGACTTTTTTTTTGATTTTTTATTTAAAAAAAAAAAAAAGCTGACTTTTAGATTATCAATAACCCCAAAGAAAGAAGGAACCAAAAAATTTTTAACCAACTTACACAGGACCTTTATTCTTCAACTGAAAGCACCTGCTCAGTCTGGTCCAAAATCCCACCACTTCTTCTGGCAGTGCATCTGATTCACTGGGTTCCTTAAAATTTGCTCTCTCACTTAGCTCTTTAAATTCATCCACAAGATTTTGAAGCCTTGCAACAAACTCTATCAAGAGTGAAGCAAATGTTGCCAAAGACAAAGAGCTAGCACTTTCATATACTTTCGATTCCTGTTCAACAACCTGCATGGTCTCTGCATTATGAAATGACAGACGTGGCCAGGCCAATGAACTTCTGGAAATATTCTCCGAGGAAATCCATTCTGCCATGGGAGGGCTCGTGCCCATGTTTGGATGCTGAGCATCCCCCCACAGTTCGCTGAGGGACGTGATCACTTTTTTTTCATCGTCTTTAACTTCAATAGAGTTCTCAGGATCTTGAAATTCCTTTCGCTTTGCTACGTCTGCCCAGCTTTCTGAATTCACCAGAAGATATGACTTTTTATCAATCTTCATTTGCAACTCCTCTGCTGCTTCATGTACTGCTAGTAGTATGTCTCCGGGGCTTAACTTTTCCATCTTTTCAACTTTGTCTCCAAGGTCGCGTATTACTTTAGCACCTTCGTTACCAACCCTTTGAAGCTCACTAGCAAACTCCTGTCTCTTTTCTGGTGGTGCCTACAGTACATAAAAATTTGCAAAACCTGATAAGGAGAATGGATAGCCAAAGCTAATTAAAGTTTCTAATGGCTCAAATGTATGAATGCCGTAAAAAATGCAGAAGAAAGAAAACTTAAAACTCTTCTGACTTGGCGGAATTGTTTTATTGATTTCTTGTCATCTTCTTGCAAACATTTAAGATGCTAAGTAGGGTATTAAGCATATACGGAAAGCCAAAGCAAATTTCCAAGAAGTATTTCTCAGGGATGAATGCAATTTAATTTTGCACTGATAGTCTGTTGCAGATTTATACGTTCAGTTGGTTGGAAACGAGTCTCTCTTCTTTGAGTCCTCTCTTTCTAGAATCAAGGTACACTAACACTAACCTTGTCTCACAGAAAATCAGATATTATATGAAAGGCCATCGACATACAAGGTATCATCACAAGCAGTACTTTTATTATTGATTCCTTTTCGTGATTTTCGTACCTTCCCTGTTCCCATGCCTCTCTGTTTTGGGGCCTTTAAGGGTGCCAATGAGCACCAAAAGTGGCAGTACTTGAATCTCATATAACCCCTCTGAGTCTAAGACCACTTACTTTGTGGTAATTTTACTTGCTGCTCAACAATTCGCACCAAATAATTCATTGCTATACTATTTAAATGGGGCAACTGAGGGGGTCATGCTACCCATTTACTCAATTCAGAAAATGGACAAAATGTGATTTTTTTGCTGGAAGGACAAGTAGAGAGCAGGCCTTTACTTTGGCAGTAGCAGTTAATATACCATCTGAATTGACTCCATACATATAAAGTCAACAACACAAAATACCCTATGCTCCACAAGAAATAAAAGCCAAATCCCGACCGAATGAATTGACTTGATGGAACAACAGAGAAAAGATTAAACAAATTAAAATGATTAAAGATGAAGCAAACTCACCTGTATTTCTGCAAGTATGCACCCGTGCATAGCCATGACCATAAATGCACAATGTCTCAATGCACCACTTACGTTAACATAGTTTCTCCAGGGATAATTGAACGTTCTGTAAGGGCCATGAGGTGGCTCCCATATTGCAAAGTCCAGCTACAAAAGACAAGTGAGTCAACAAATCCTACCTTTTCAGTGTATTGCAAGATCTTCAGAAGCTTACCGAGATTACATAGAAAAGAAATAGGAACCAGTACAGTGAGATGATAGATACCAGGGATTCCTCTTGGCTTGAAGACTGTACAGCAGATCTATAGCCACTGTACAATGGATCATCTGAAGCTTGATAGGTAAGAATTTTTGAAGGAATCCTCTCATATTCAACGCATTGCAAGTATCGATCAACACAGCCTACATGGGAGTTCGATAAAACCAATCAAGCTAATCATCACAATTCAAATTATAGAGAGCAAAATAGAAGTAAATAAACCATAGAATTTATTTGTAATGAGCAAACAAAGTAATAACCTTCCAAGGAAGCAGCAACACCCTTGAAATTTTTAACAACCAATTTGTGTAGATCCTCCCCTGCCCAGATGGGAAATATAAGAACATTTATTACCAAGCATATTCCAGCACCAACCGCAATCAGCACTAATCGATAGAATGCTGTTTGGAAAAATGTTGTTGAATTTCCAGACACAAGAACGATACAATATGTCAACAAGAATACTCGAAATCCGTATTCATAAGTTTTCATAGTCGGATAAAGCTTCAAATAACTTGCACAGAATCCTGAACACAAAAATTTAGATATGTCAGTGCAAAAATTGATTTTCCAAGAAGGGTATTGGGAATAAAGGTAATTTCATTTTTCCAACCTGCAATGAAAATACTAATTATAATAAAAACTTCTTGAAATTTTCCAGCGTGTATAGAAAGTTCTGCAATTCCCAAAGCAAGACCTCCAGCAGAAAACGTTCCCAAGGCACGATTGAACCCTTTGTTAAGAGTGGCACCTGTCCAAAGAAAATAGTCATATTTGTACAGTTTGATTTTTTTTTTTTTTTTTTTTTTTGCATTAAATTTGATCTTAATTTGTAAATAGTACCTACGCTGTACTCGAAAACAACGACGACTGTAAGAATTGCCCAGATCGAGTATTGGCTAACATTAGCCAGAGGCTCTTTGAGGAATATGACGAGTGATACAAGAGCCAGAGCCATTCCCATCTTGACGGCAAAAATGACTTTTCGAGGATCGGAACGACCCATCTCATATAACTTACGGGAAACATCTTGCAAAGTATTCCAAGAGTTAATAATTCCATCGGAGAATGAACGAAAACACTTGCATTTGACTCCATCTTCACTGTCGCCGGAGCTGTTTAGACCAAAGTCTGAATATCCCTTTTTAGAGAGCAATCTTTCTTTACTCCTCTCAGCAAAGCTGTGCCTAAATGAACCAATTCTCCCGGCCATTAATATTGATTTACATAACCAAGACGAAGAAGATGGATTCACAACTACTAGCGATTAAATATGGAGAGTCAAATCATGAGTTTTTGGTACGTAGATACAGCAGATGAGATATGGATGTGATTGTGATTGAGATTGAGTGGGGCTCCATATCATGTTCCTTGATGTGGCATAATCAAGAAGAAGCAATTGACTAATGTAAGAGATAGAAGCGATGTCGTTTAATTATTCTAAGAAAAGGATGAGACTGGAGAGTTTACGCTATACACGGGAGTTGCAGGAAGGGACCAGCTTCACTGTCAAGAGTTGACGGGAATCTTCTCAGAAGCATAAAACTGTAGAGAGAAGAGTTATGATATCAAATTATATTCATTATTACTACTCTACTCAATAGCAATCTAATACAAATTACAATCCCATGTTATATAGCTCTTTGTTGTCCATTAGTTTGTAGACAAAATAATTCAAAAAAATAACCACTTCCTCTCAACTGGATCTTGATTTAAGGAAATATTTTCCTGATTTAAAAATTATAAATCTTTTATCTTCTAAGTACAATATTAGTAATATAAAATATGAGTAATTTGATATGCGATTAGGTAATTCAAGGATAAAATAATTTGATTAATTTAATTACTAAAATTGTAGAATGTTGTTTTCTTTACGAAAAGAACATGAGAGATAAATACGTGTACAACTGGATGAAGGTATATTAACGCAGACCGCCCATGTAGTCACGTTCAAGGGAAGTCATCAACATTGCCACTTTCGACAGGCATGCCAATGGACATGTGAGATCAATAAATATTCAACAACGATTTTATTATCTTTTTAATTATTTCATTATCCATTGTTGTGTCTTTTACTCTTTTCTTTATTTACTTTTATATCCTTTGAATCCATTTGATCATATCTCACTCTGTCCTAAGAGGAATATTCTGGTATTATCTTCCTCACCTGGGACTTTATAGTTTAACATCATTGAAAATCCCAATCCAATAGAAAATGGACATAAGGTAGGGAATGTATGGGCCAATCAGTTCTGGAGTTTTCCTAGCAAAATTACTTTTAGCAAGGTGTGATGAGCTACCAACAGAGATCATGGGTTTTATGTGGATTGTTTAAATATGGATAGATCTTGGATGAATGTGAAACTCCNTGACCTGGGACCTTATAATTTAAAATCCCAATCCAATAGAAAATGGACATAAGGTAGGGAATGTATGGGCCAATCAGTTCTGGAGTTTTCCTAGCAAAATTACTTTTAGCAAGGTGTGATGAGCTACCAACAGAGATCATGGGTTTTATGTGGATTGTTTAAATATGGATAGATCTTGGATGAATGTGAAACTCCAAGTCTCCAAACCCTTCAATCACGGGTTTAAAAGTCAAAACAAGCATGAGAAGTTTTTTTTTTTTTTTTTTAATTGTAGGTGATCTGTTTTCGAGTAGTCTAAAAATATGCTAGTTAATTGAGTTGTGTTTATTTTGTCTCACACTTAAATCTCTTCGTAAGTCCTACAAATATTTAAAGGAAAATAATAAAGCTACCAACGGTAGTGCATCGAATTTGTATACCGAATGACGTAATAAAATCCTGACAGTTGATTAATTTTAATTTAATATTAACTAACGATCATGATTTTGTCACGTCATTCGGTGCACTACTGTCGGTGGCTGTAGTATTACTCATATTTTAAATTATTTAAAAAAAATTAATTTATAAATATATTCCCCCCTTTGTTTCATTCTTTTAAATTATTTTTCTATTATCCTATTTGGATAAAAAAAAAAAAAAAAGGGAATATATGTTTGTTTACTTATTGGGATCGTTATTTTGAAAATCAATTCGAATTAAATAAAATTTTGTCTATTGAAAATAAAAAGTGGGTGAGACTTGTTTTCTATCATCATATTCTAACATTTTTTCAACTAAAAAAAATTACATCTCACAATAAAAAGTTTATAAATTAACAAAAACACTATCACCCACCCAATCCACTATCGACCTTCGCCGCTATCATCGATGCCCACCACCAGCATCGGAACAACGCACAATAGGCTGGACTTGGCTGATCATGTGACGATCTTTCTGGGGGATTGTTAATTTTAAAGTTTCATTATGGGGTTGTTTTTGTTAAATTTTAAAGTTTTATTGTGGAAGGTGTTTGGCTAAATTAACAAATATAGGAATTTAAAAATAATCTAAATATTTTCAAAAAAATGTACCAAATAATTATTCAACATTTTATCCAACTCTGATATAATCTTCAAATATCATACCAAACATATTATCAAAATCTTGTCTTATTCTAATTAATCTTACCCTATTCTATTTAGATAGTTTTTTATAATAACATTTTTCTCAAATAATCTATCAAACAGGTCCATTTGTTCCTGTTATTTGGTTCAATATTTTTATAACTGATAAGTGGGTGGGTCTGAAGAACAGGTCTGCTGTTATGCATATGAGACTGTTCAGCCTAGAGATGGGCGTTTGGGCACTACTCCTCCACAATTGTTCTAGCCCATTAGGAACAACGTTCATCAAAACAAGTTTGGGCTATATATCCTGGACTCCACGAGCAGGCCTCGCCCAAAAGGCCTTTGCAATCTCCCCTGTCCTAAAAAGTTAAGCGTCTGTTCAATCCCTTATCCAAACGCAAGACAATTCTGATCAGTCAGGGGAGACTTTCATGCCTTCTTTTATTACCCAATAAAAAGTTAAAACCTCCGTATCCCCTTCAACATATCGCAAAATGTTTTCTTCAATGGCGCTTCAATCTAGTTTCAATACTACTTTAACTAGCTGCTCTTCATTTCCTTCTCACAAACTCAGTCTCAAATCCTTCAAAACTTCCATTCACATCAAGTCCAACCCCATTTCAAGAAACCAAAGACGACTCAGTACTACTTTAGCAGCAGCCCCAGAAACACTCACAGCTGAAACATCTACAGACACCATCTCCTCAACCCCAGTAGAAATTGAGGTCAAAATATTTCTTTCTTCTTTCTTTATTTCTTTATGTATGTGTGTAGCTTTGCTTTATTTAGAGAGTTTTAATGAATTTTGCAGAAAGCTGAGGTGTCGGTGAAGCAAGTGGGGAAGCCGAGGCTTGTATTGAAGTTCATATGGATGGAGAAGAACATTGGTCTTGCTCTTGATCAATCAATACCCGGGCATGGCACCATTCCTTTAAGCCCATATTTCTTTTGGCCGAGAAAAGATGCATGGGAAGAGCTGAAGGCCACTCTAGAGAGTAAACCATGGATATCCCAGAAGAAGATGATTTTACTTCTTAATCAGGCCACTGATATCATCAATTTATGGCAGCAAAGTGGTGGTAATCTTACTACCTAAATGTGTGCAGTAGAGTACACATTGCTTTTGGGTACAAATTTGGGGTTTGGGTAAGTCTACATTGTTTTGTATTTTAGCTATTCTAAACTAGATTATGATAATGCTCCATTATTGCGAATGGAATTTGGCTTTGTGAGTTTGCTACTATTCATTTATACAAGAGTTGTTTGTTTGATTTTCTCGAAGCTTTCAGTTAGGACCCCTGATGTTGGCAAACTTTTGTTCTGAAAGGAAAAAAAAATTAGAACATGTGCTAACGAACACGGACTTAACTGCGTTGGAAATGAGTTTTGGTTAGAGCTATTTAGAATAATGTGAAGACTACATAAATTTCACTTTGGTTTTATGATTTGTGTTGATGGCTAAGAACTACTAGCAAGGTTCTGTTCAGGTCAGGTGTACTGACATGAAAGTTGGCTGAAGATTTTATGTTGCCATAGCTGATAGCTCCACGTAAATTGAGATTTGAGACTGTTTAACTCAAAATATTTAGAAGCAGTCAGTTGTTTGAATGATGAGTTTCCTTTATTGGCATAAGTTTCAATTGATAGCATATGAACCTTCTCCTATTTTTCAAAGGTAAGTTAAAAGGATATTCCCTCATTTGGCGGCTCATTCTTCTTCTTAAATCTTGTAATTTGTAAAATGCAAGAAAAGTATATGGAGGAAGGTATTTCCTTGCAAGTTCCAGAGCAGAAGGAATATAAATAATTAAAAGATTATCAGGATATTCTCTGTTAATGATTTAAAGATTCAACAAAATGAAAATTTCATGCTAGCTGTGCTCGCAGAATGCGACAAGTGAGCTGATGGTGCGTATCAGATGTACATGTACATTTTCTGGTCACACACTCAATAGAGTAGCAATGCCGGAATGATATGTGGTTGAACACCAACAAATAGCAACGGGAGTCTGATACAAGCAAAGAAACTTCTCAAATCTTATCTTGAAACTTCATTCTGATCAATTTAATTATACATCTCAGCCAAAGAATTCACTAACATAAAAGATTCTACAATTTCATTTTCTGTCTTAGAGAAAACTGGAAACAAATATCTGCTATTCATACACTGGCTCATTCTAACAATCATCATTGCCCATCAACAATACTACACTTTAGCTATAGTTCCTCATCAAGGTTCAAAAAGAGAAGGTAGGCAATTAAACCAACCACAGGCACAAATCTTAGATAATTCACTATACCTACCTTGCCTGTCTGAATATTTTGCAGGTTGTCACCTATCAACCAAGGCTGGAAAATTATGTAAAGAAAAATATCCCATATGAAGGCATAAGCCAACCTTTCTGATCCAAGATAACTAACCAGGAAGTCCCATCTGTCTGTTATGCTGCCAAAATTTCCATCCATTCGACCATAGAGGGCCCAAAGCACAGATATCAGACATACAGCTCCGCCAACAAGTCCTACAATGGGCCCACCATTTGTCATCACGGAGCCTAGTTGAGAGCGTTTTCTTTGAATATAGTCGGCATCAGCCTCATTCAGCCGTATTGCCATGTAAGGGATTAAGAATGCTGGCATCAGAATAAATATAACTCAATTCTTTGGTTAATAAGAAATCACAACAAACCTTCACTAGTGTCCAAAATTAAAGTTGAAAAACAAGGAGAAAAAGCAAATCAAAGGGCAGCTATGGACTCTGAAGCCCACTGTTGCCAGGATAAACCCATCATAAGATCACACTTGCTACAAAGAAAATCGCCAAAACAGTGATAATTGCTTCAGCCAAATCAAGTATCATACTAAGAGAGGGCACCAACTTAAATTTTTTACGCAAAAGAAATATACATGTGTGGTATACATGGTCAAGTTCATTTAACTAAAGCAAGATTTGAGAGGAAGCTTACTGTTGGTAAGGAACATCTGCAAACCCCATAAAATATCAAGAGAACCCTTGTATCTGTCCCTCTTTCGATCTGTGAATAATAAGGGAGCAAACATGAAGGTCCATCCGATTACAAAGTTGAACAATCCTTCAGACATCTGATTGAAGAATAAAACTAACATCAGAATGGACGTTTACACTGGGATGCAAATGCCAAGAAGCCTCTTAACAGTTGCATCACATTAAAATAAGCATGAAGTACAGTAATCAGTGGCATCATATTTCATTTGTTATAATAATACTTACTGGATGAAGAACTGGAGCATCAATTAAACGAATTCCGACTACTCTGCCAAAAAATTCATTGCACAAATTATCAATGCCTAGCACATGATAAGGACTTGTTCAACAATCCAATTCGGTTAGTAAATCAACTTTCAATTTTAATAAACAAAATGAGTCATGTAACTACTCCCTCTAACCCCTAAAAGACAAGGACAAAGAAACGGATAGAGATATCAAGTCAATTGATGGGAATGAAAATTGTAAATTTCAACTATCCAAATGGCATTAGAAGATGGAAAGATGAGAGTTCTGAATAATTAGCATGGACTTAAAACAAGTTTAACAGAAGTTGATGAGAACACCTCATGGGTTCAATTTATTACTATACACCCATCCAAATTTTATCACAGAGCAATGAAACATGGTTTATACTTTTAGATAGCTATGATTATCCAAAGTAAGTGCATCTCATATTTATCAAGCTTATAGTTGATAACTGATCTACAAAGAAATCCTTTCTCTAAAGAGCAAGTACCATTAACAATAGTTTGACATACCAGCATTTGTCAACGGCAAGATAAAGAAGAAATTGAGAGAAAGGCCCACAAGGGAATTCACTGTTTCTGAGCTGATAGCCCACACTGGATCTCCCTATTAAATAAAAAAATTAATCAACCTTTCTTCTGTAAATACAAAACATTAATAAATACTGAAGTGTCACATTTGAGAAGATATTCTCTAAAACAAATGAATACATTATTAAAAAGCATTACATAAATGTCTAGGCCAAAATTTAATGCATTTAAAAATCTCAAATGTATTTTGAAAAAAATATGATCAGTAACATTCCAAACATTTAAAACCTGCTACACTATACATATATTTGAAGCTGAAATATTTGACATTATTTTCAAAGTCCATGCTTTTTGAAATCATCAACTCAGTGATTTTGAAAATGTCCATATCCACAAAACGAAATCAAATTATTGAAGCATAACACTAAATTCTATTCACAGAACATATGATATACATATAAAATATGGCCTTTAGAATAAATTCACTGAATAAACTACCAGATTACGCACAATTGTAACGTAGAAAAGCAACCCAAGTTTCAACTTTCAATGTCAAGAGAGAAATTTTATAAGTATAAAAAGAGACCCATACTGGAGCAAAGGGAAGTAGGAAGAGCCACAAAATGTAAACAGCTTCGGCAGTCCAGAGAGAAAACTGTAGCACCCGCCGTACTGTATCATTGCCCTCTACAGAGGCGGTAGTAGCATCAGCTACGGTGGGTTTGCGGCGAGCCGCGCGGCAAACGATGGGACTCAAATGTGGCGGATTTTGTTTAGGCCATGTTTGGCTATTGAATTTGATGGCTGAATTGTGCAATCGGCGATAAAACAACTTTGAATTGAATGCTTTGGTTGAAAGAAAGGAGTAGTTGGTGCAGAGCAAAGGCTGAGGCTTAGCTGATGTTACCGTCATCGTCATCTTTTTTGCATCAGTTGCAAGACAATTGGTATTTGGTACTTAAAATTGTTTTTGTTTTTCATATATTAATTTTAAATACAACCAATAAATTTGAAAAATAAANATATAAAGATTCAACAAAATGAAAATTTCATGCTAGCTGTGCTCGCAGAATGCGATAAATGAGCTGATGGTGCGTATCAGATGTCCATGTACATTTTCTGGTCACACACTCAATAGAGTAGCAATGCCGGAATGATATGTGGTTGAACGCCAACAAATAGCAACAGGAGTCTAATACAAGCAAAGAAACTTCTCAAATCTTATCTTGAAACTTCATTCTGATCAATTTAATTATACATCTCAGCCAAAGAATTCACTAACATAAAAGATTCTACAATTTCATTTTCTGTCATAGAGAAAACTGGAAACAAATATCTGCGACTCATACACCGGCTCATTCTAACAATCATCATTGCCTATCAACAATACCACACTTTAGCTATAGTTCCTCATCAAGGTTCAAAAAGAGAAGGTAGGCAATTAAACCAACCACAGGCACAAATCTAAGATAATTCACTATACCCACCTTGCCTGTCTGAATATTTTGCAGGTTGTCACCTATCAACCAAGGCTGGAAAATTATGTAAAGAAAAATATCCCATATGAAGGCATAAGCCAACCTTTCTGATCCAAGATAACTAACCAGGAAGTCCCATCTGTCTGTTATGCTGCCAAAATTTCCATCCATTCGACCATAGAGGGCCCAAAGCACAGATATCAGACATACAGCTCCGCCAACAAGTCCTACAATGGGCCCACCATTTGTCATCACGGAGCCTAGTTGAGAGCGTTTTCTTTGAATATAGTCGGCATCAGCCTCATTCAGCCGTATTGCCATGTAAGGGATTAAGAATGCTGGCATCAGAATAAATATAACTCAATTCTTTGGTTAATAAGAAATCACAACAAACCTTCACTAGTGTCCAAAATTAAAGTTGAAAAACAAGGAGAAAAAGCAAATCAAAGGGCAGCTATGGACTCTGAAGCCCACTGTTGCCAGGATAAACCCATCATAAGATCACACTTGCTACAAAGAAAATCGCCAAAACAGTGATAATTGCTTCAGCCAAATCAAGTATCATACTAAGAGAGGGCACCAACTTAAATTTTTTACGCAAAAGAAATATACATGTGTGGTATACATGGTCAAGTTCATTTAACTAAAGCAAGATTTGAGAGGAAGCTTACTGTTGGTAAGGAACATCTGCAAACCCCATAAAATATCAAGAGAACCCTTGTATCTGTCCCTCTTTCGATCTGTGAATAATAAGGGAGCAAACATGAAGGTCCATCCGATTACAAAGTTGAACAATCCTTCAGACATCTGATTGAAGAATAAAACTAACATCAGAATGGATGTTTACACTGGGATGCAAATGCCAAGAAGCCTCTTAACAGTTGCATCACATTAAAATAAGCATGAAGTACAGTAATCAGTGGCATCATATTTCATTTGTTATAATAATACTTACTGGATGAAGAACTGGAGCATCAATTAGACGAATTCCAACTACTCTGCCAAAAAATTCATTGCACAAATTATCAATGCCTAGCACATGATAAGGACTTGTTCAACAATCCAAGACGGTTAGTAAATCAACTTTCAATTTTAATAAACAAAATGAGTCATGTAACTACTCCCTCTAACCCCTAAAAGACAAGGACAAAGAAACGGATAGAGATATCAAGTCAATTGATGGGAATGAAAATTGTAAATTTCAACTATCCAAATGGCATGAGAAGATGGAAAGATGAGAGTTCTGAATAATTAGCATGGACTTAAAACAAGTTTAACAGAAGTTGATGAGAACACCTCATGGGTTCAATTTATTACTATACACCCATCCAAATTTTATCACAGAGCAATGAAACATGGTTTATACTTTTAGATAGCTATGATTATCCAAAGTAAGTGCATCTCATATTTATCAAGCTTATAGTTGATAACTTATCTACAAAGAAATCCTTTCTCTAAAGAGCGAGTACCATTAACAATAGTTTGACATACCAGCATTTGTCAATGGCAAGATAAAGAAGAAATTGAGAGAAAGGCCCACAAGGGAATTCACTGTTTCTGAGCTGATAGCCCACACTGGATCTCCCTATTAAATAAAAAAATTAATCAACCTTTCTTCTGTAAATACAAAACATTAATAAATACTGAAGTGTCACATTTGAGAAGATATTCTCTAAAACAAATGAATACATTATTAAAAAGCATTACATAAATGTCTAGGCCAAAATTTAATGCATTTAAAAATCTCAAATGTATTTTGAAAAAAATATGATCAGTAACATTCCAAACATTTAAAACCTGCTACACTATACATATATTTGAAGCTGAAATATTTGACATTATTTTCAAAGTCCATGCTTTTTGAAATCATCAACTCAGTGATTTTGAAAATGTCCATATCCACAAAACGAAATCAAATTATTGAAGCATAACACTAAATTCTATTCACAGAACATATGATATACATATAAAATATGGCCTTTAGAATAAATTCACTGAATAAACTACCAGATTACGCACAATTGTAACGTAGAAAAGCAACCCAAGTTTCAACTTTCAATGTCAAGAGAGAAATTTTATAAGTATAAAAAGAGACCCATACTGGAGCAAAGGGAAGTAGGAAGAGCCACAAAATGTAAACAGCTTCGGCAGTCCAGAGAGAAAACTGTAGCACCCGCCGTACTGTATCATTGCCCTCTACAGAGGCGGTAGTAGCATCAGCTACGGTGGGTTTGCGGCGAGCCGCGCGGCAAACGATGGGACTCAAATGTGGCGGATTTTGTTTAGGCCATGTTTGGCTATTGAATTTGATGGCTGAATTGTGCAATCGGCGATAAAACAACTTTGAATTGAATGCTTTGGTTGAAAGAAAGGAGTAGTTGGTGCAGAGCAAAGGCTGAGGCTTAGCTGATGTTACCGTCATCGTCATCTTTTTTGCATCAGTTGCAAGACAATTGGTATTTGGTACTTAAAATTGTTTTTGTTTTTCATATATTAATTTTAAATACAACCAATAAATTTGAAAAATAAACCAAAAAAAAAAAAAATCTGATTTTAGGTTGGTGCAATATTTTTGAGTAAAATTTTCTTCATGTAAAATTTTAAAAAGTATTACGGAAACATTTTCTTTAAAATTGAAAAAAAAAAAATATTTGTGACAAACAGCATACTGACGTGGCAACTTTTGAGCGCGGAATGAGGATAGGCGCGGAAGTGGAGCACATTTGATGCGTAATTTTTAATTTGAATTGGGGGTTGATTTGTCAAAAACCAGAAGCTCTACAACAAAAGAGAAACGCCACCGTTTCGAATTTCAGAATCCTGCTTATGAGGCAAGTTTCGTCCTGGCCAAACATTCGCTTTGATTTTCTTTTACTTATTATTTTCCCGCGCAGTTTGGGTAGATGGCTCCTAAATCTGATAATACAGAAGGTAACTATTACTCTCTAACTTTGATTATTTAAGAATCTATTTTCTCAATTTTGTTATTTTATTAACATTTTCTCTTTTCTGACTCGACGATCATCCTTTTTCTTTTTAAAAATTTTCAGCAATCGTGCTCAACTTCGTGAATGAGGTAATTTTGAATTTCCACGAATTCATTACTGGTCTATGATACGAGCAATAATCAATATTAAGTTGCGCTTAAATTTTGGTGTATAACATTTATTCTCCGTTTGATTGAACATTTTTGTTTTCTTACTGTTTGGGAGATTAAAAAAACTAAATCTATACTTTACAAGCGAGCTTCTATTACTCAGGAAATGGTCAAGAAGTCGATTCGTTTGTTTCACTGGAAATATGATCTTATCTGTAAAGAAGGAAAAATGTGATAGACTGTTTAATTTGATGGAAAATTATTGTCTATTTGTGTAGTATTAATTATGTTTGTGGATTGTGCTTTACTCTCTCAAATGCTTTTGTTTATGTTCTTTTTCCAGCAAAATCGGCCCTTAAATTCTCAAAATGTGGCCGATTCTTTACAAAAGTACAACCTTAAAAAGACGGCTGTACAAAAAGCATTGGATAATCTTGCTGATAGCGGAAAGATTTCATTCAAGGAATATGGTAAACAGAAGATATACATTGCTAGGCAAGACCAGTTTGACATTCCGAACAATGAAGAGCTTAATCAGATGAAGGAACAAAATGCCAAGCTGCAGGAACAGCTTGAAGAACAGAAGAAGGCAATCACCAGGGTTGAGGGAGGTATAATTTTTTTTTTTTTTGGTATGTGCTATGGAAGAAATTTATTTATTGTGGTAATTAATTAACATTTCATTGGCTGTATGGAACGTTGAAAGGATAGTTTCTGTGCTTTATTGCAGAAATTAGAACTTTACAGTCAAATTTAACATTGGAACAAATACGTGAGAAAGAAGCCAAACTAAGAAAGGAGGTATGTGGCATGGATTATTTGATTTTAATTTACTTTTACCTGTGAGGAAGAATGGAAAAAGCTTAGGAAATTTTTGATTATGTATCAGATTAAGGAAATGGAGGATAAACTGGCTAAATTGCGTGGAGGAGTCACCCTGGTGAAGCCCGAGGAGAGGAAGGCGGTTGAGAAGATGTATTTGGAGAAAGTAAGTCAGTGGAGAAAGCGTAAAAGGATGTTCAAAGATATATGGGATACCATAACTGAGAACTCATCTAAGGATCTGAAGGAATTTAAGGTTCTTTTTACATCATTTATTTCTTCAAACCATATGGTGTTGTGTTGTGCAGATTCTCTAATAGTTGGTCATGTTTTGCAGGAGGAGCTTGGAATCGAATATGATGAAGATGTTGGTGTGAGTTTGCAGGCTTTTTCTGATTTGTTGCAACATGGTAAGAAGAGGCCAAGAGGCCACTGAGTTATTTGTAGTGTTACATACTTAATCGAGGATCAGGCATATAAAAATTTTCAGTTTTCGTTATTGTAGATTCTGCATTTTTGCTAGATCTAGATCTTTAGCTCTGAAAATTAGTTTGTTTGTTTGTTTATTTTTCACAAATGTTATGTGACAAACCTTTCTTTCGTAAATGACAAACCATTTTGAAAGTTAATGTAGTTCTTAAGGGCTTGCTCTTTCTATTATATTTGGTGCATAAAAGTATCTTTTGAGCTGACTTTGTTGAAACCTTTGATTAGTGAGTTGGTTGTTAAAACTCTTCCTTGAAGATAATATTTACATAATCAGTGATTTTTAACAGGCAAATGTATTATTTATTAATTTATCTCTTCTGCAATTTAGTATATGAGAATCGATACATGTAATCCAAAGTCAAGTTTAGGCTGTGCACTGACCATCATGAATGCACATTTAGTCATTATTGTATATTGCCTTTTCTGCACATTCCTCCAGAGAAACATTATTGCATATTTCTCTTACTTTTCCCGTGTTAGTGAAACTTAGGCTTTTATAAATAGTTTGAATATATGGTGCAGTATGTTGATGTGCCATATTACCACTAGCATGTCTTCACATATGATCAACAAATTGAACTTTGAGGCTGAAGTCAATCAGTCATTACATCAAAATTAACACACAAAAAATTTCAGCACTCACTTACATTCCAAATCAATTACACAGTTCAACTTTTTCAAAATTTAATGGGAGAAAAATGAAAAAGAAAAGGCAGTTTAGCTTATCAGCCTAGGCCATGACTACACAAGTCTCAAGACTTACACACATTTTAGTACCCGCGCACTTGTCTGGTGAATCTGGTCCTAACTGACATTGGGCGAGTCGCCATGTCTAAATGCTGTTTAGTTTGCAACACAGATTCTTCAGCTGCATGTGCACTGGATTGTCCACTCTCCACTTTCAGACTAGCTTGAGAGCTTGAACGGATCTGCCTATGAGAAATAACCGAGCCCTCGCTGTCACTGTTGTCAAAATCTATATCCTTCTCTAGTAACTTCAGAGTCTCAGGGTCCACTTCAGTGGACATTGTAGTCACCTTTAATTTTTCTTCTGTTAAATCTGAACTTGAACTAGAAATTGAACTCTCAAGTTCTGCTCCATTCTCGCTGTGTTTTGATTCTGCAGCTTTGCTTTCACCAAGAATTTCCTCAATTTTAGATTCAGATTCAAGTTTTACAGGATCATCTCTTCCAGTTTCTCTTCTTTGCCAAGTACTGGGACCACTGTGATCATCTGGATCATGGAATTCAGATCTTGAGAGTTCCACAGCTGCTCTTGCAGCCGCCGCTGCATGAGCAGCTGACTCAAAAGCTGCCTGAGCCGCATCGGCAACATCCTTGTACTTCTTCCCTGCCTTCATTGAATCAGAGAACTCATCATCTTCTCGGAGATTATTAGGAGAATTTTGTGAATGATCGCCTGGCCTAGTGGGAGATAAATTAGTTGATGTTTTCGGCTCAGTCTGGTTTTGCTTCTTGCTTACATCCAAGATTTCCTGCATCGTTCATAAAAGGCCACAAGTTACGAACAACTGCCAAAGTTTAGGGCGCATTCAAGCAATAAAACTAATGCAATATTTGCTTGTATAGTCTCAATACCTCACTGGAAATAGAAGAGGTATCTTCAAGTTGCAGAACAATGCCATTCTCGGTGGCAATCTCCTTGAGCACTTTCATTCTGTTCTCCAGCTCTGGCTGACGGGTTGACAGCTTTTGTATCATCTACAGAAATCCATGAACAAATATCTTAAAATTAACGTGCCCAAGAATTCAACATAACACATAGTATTCACATATCTTTTATTATCATTATCATTTGACTTAGTCCTAAATATGCATATTCGTCAAATTGAGCATCCATTCTTAAACCCACATTATGACTTTTTGTGGTAATACAGGGCAGTTCTGGAAGCAAAGCCGAGTTCTATGTATAAAGTTTTTGAAAAGGTTATATTGAGGAGGACCGGATGTCTGCCTTTCACAAATAAAACGTTACCTTTTTGCTTTTTCTGTTAAATTGAAAACCTACTCAAACAAGGTACATATCTAACTCACATTTAAAAATAGAAATAAAAAAAAAAAAAAAAAACCATACCCTGGCGTTCACTGCACAATTGTTGCGCAATTCAATAGCACGATTCACAAATTCCTTGCCATAGCGAGACGTGAACAACGCGCGAATTTCTTGAAGCTCTGGGAACTCTCCACATCTCGAAGCTGCAAACAGCAAGGTCGATATTGGCTCCCTCAATTCAATGGGACACTCTCTGCAACCAAAAAAAAAAAAATTAAGCCCAGAAATGAGAATTCCGACAAATAAATAAAAGAACTTCCTTCATAAATCTGTAAATGTATATATGAAACTAACTTGTCTTGTTCAATGAGGTGAACCCTTTCTATAAGTAGATTGCAGTAGCTTTCCATCATAATGAAAGCATCCAACATGTTTCGCTCTTTGATCACATGCTCAACCTGAACAACAAAAACAACCAGATCTCTCTCTAATCATACATAGACCAGTTAACAAGTAAATTATTAAAGATATCGTATAAATCTTACTCGAAGGAGAGCACGTTCTTGGTGGCCTTGTTGGAGGAGTTGAACGACATCGGAGCGGGCCTGGTTGCACTTGACTTGGCGCTGGTTCTTGAGGACGGCAAGGCGAGAAATGGCAAGATTGACTTGTGGCTTGAACTTGTAGGACTTGAAGTTTCTTCCAAACAGAGCATCAAGTTTCTTTCCCATCCCAACTCTTCTCTTTAATCAGCTGTGTTAAGAATAAGATTTGAATCAGAGCGTGGCAGAGAAAGTGATTAGTGATTAGTACAGTAGGCAAAAGAGAACAAACAAGCAGAGGCTTGTTTGCTTCTTTTTGAGATGACGAGGGAGAATGTAGTTGGTATTACCAATTCCAATTTTAGTAGTAATAATACGTGTTTTTTTGTGGGCTTTTCTTATTAATTAAGTCTACGCTGTGTGAGGAACGGCGTAATCTGAAAACGAGACTTTTAAACGCGGTTTTCTGTCTGTAACTTCCGCGATATACGGCCTCTGGCTCCACATTTTATTACGAGAGAGGTGAGACTTCATCCACACGCACAACAGGTACGTGAGAAACAGTCTCCATACTTCATCTTTTATAATTTATATCAATAATATTATACTTACAAACAAATCTTATCGAGATTTTCATACAAAGTGAGGTGACAAAAAATAAATGAAAGAGTAAAATAAAAAGTTAAACTCATTAAATTTACTCTTCCATTCATTTTTTATTACATCACTTTGTATGGAGATCTTTGTAAAAAAATTTTGTAAGTATAGTATTACACAATTTATATTATCTATTTGTGTTGTGTAATGCAAGGAAAAGACTTTTCGCGGTAGCTTTAGTCTTCAATCAAATGATGCTATGAATTAGCTTATAAATTTGATAAGATTTTATTTATAAATACTACCATTTTTTGATAGGGTATGTTTGATTCGAGAAATGCTAGATTAAAATTATTGAAAATATTTAGGAAAATGTGTTTAGTTAATTGGAATAAATTAGTGGATATGTTATTTAAATTATTGAATTGTTCTCTAATTAAATATTATTATGTAATATTGTTATTTATATTATTATTTGGATTATTATAACCCCCCAACATTTAAAAACTTAGCAAAAATAACCCTATAATAAAAGTTTAGAAAATCAACAATACACCCCCACCAACCCAGCCACTACCGGCTGTCGGCAACCACCGTCGGTAACCGACAACCTAACGGTGCACAGAAGACCGAAAATGGCCTCCGTGCACCGTATGGTCATTTCCAGCCAAAGATCTGGCCGGAAAATGATCAAATCTAATATGGTCGTTTCCGGCCAGATCGATGGCGGTTAACGGCCACAAATCAATGGTGGTTAAATGGCTAGATCTGTCACGATCTAGCCATTTTCAGCCATATCTCTAGTTGAAAATGGCCATATCGGCACACGACGACCATTTTCGGCCAACTCTCAGGAGAAGGTTTTTACGAACACTAGGCAGAACTTAGGGGTAGGGGCACGAAAATGCCACTCTTGAGAAGGGTAATAAGAGGCATTGGCAAGGCAATGGGGTAAAATAGTAAAAGTCATATTCATGTAAATTAATTTAAAAATAAGGGTATTATTGTCCTAAAATTTTATTAATAAGGGATAGAATTGTAATAAATAAAAAAAAAAGATTACCTTGGTAATCTTACAATCCCTAAGAAAATGGAAGTAATCAGATTACCTCCAATATTATCAACAATAACTAATATTGGTATTTGAAAATTACCGAAATTTTATATTACTTGACAACCAAACGTGGTAATTAAGTAATATAAGATGACATAACCCCAGTAATCTCACATAGCCCCCAACCAAACGCCTCCTTAATGTTAATAAAATAATGATATGCTTACAATTGAGTCATACAATTAGGTATACAATCAGACCAAAAATATAGGATAGAGTAATTATTTTATATGAATTTTGTACAATTTTTGTCTTATTGTATAACTCAACGGTAAATATAGCATTATTCATGCTCATAAATAGGTACCAATAATTTGATAGTTGACATTTTCATCCCTCTCTCTCAATATATGCATAATAAAGTTGATTGGAAAAGTAATGTACTTCTGACTGAGTCAATTTCAATCCATAAGCTAGCATGTTTTTCTCTTTTCTTTAATAGCTGAAGGTGAAGGATCACATTGCAAGTTAAAATGTCACCAACAAAAGTTGCCCCGTCCATTAGAAGCTTCATAGAGATTTAACATTTTATATTTTAATTAGAGGTACTATTTGTAATGATTGAGGCATAATAATCAATATATTTTAATCAGCATTATTTAATAGACCAGAAACCAAAGAGAGAGAGATTTCTTCTCTAATGCTTGACTTTAATAAAGAAAAGATCTAATGGAAGATACAAGGAAAATCCTATGAAGTTATGTCATTTTTCTCATTAAATACTTTACTCTGAGCTATAAATGCTTCAATTGGAAACATCAGAAATTTGATAAATCAAAGGACCAATCATTCAAGTAAAATAATAGAAAAGTTTAGTGATTCCAGACTGGATCATTTGATGTTATTATGATAGGAAAAGGTTAGTTCAACAAACTTCTGATTTAAATAGATTATTAAAGACGTCAACTCCAATTCAGATTCAAGTTTGAACTCGTAAACTTACATTAACAAGAATAGGATGTAAAGATCCAGATCTAAACACAAATTATGGTAAAAAAATAAAAAATAATTCATAAAAAGTAAATAAAGAAAACTCACAGTAGTGTTGCGCACGAACCAGCTTAATAGCTTTCTGTGGTAGAAATTCTTGAGCTTAATAATTTCAAATCTGCATTTTTTTTTTTTATATGTATTTGCCATTTAAACAAAATTCTTGCTGCCATTTATGCAGAGTTTTAACCTGATTCAGCAACTACTAACTAATGTAACTACCCAATCAACAACTATAGAACGAAATTTAGAAAATTACAGCTCTTCTAAATCCACGCGTTTAAATTTGTTAATTTTGCAATCAAGATATACCTCTACACTTTCCTAAGGCTGTTATTTAATATTTATGCATATATCAAAACCAAAAACATGTTTGTCGTTCGGTAGGAATATTAATTGGTTATTATATGCAAGTTAGAAGTTACTAGAAGCAAATTTTATTAATTTTTTAATTCAAATTAAAACTTATATAATTTATTGTTTTAAACTAATTAAGCTGCTTGTGGATGCGGTTCATTTGTACCCAAATCATCGAGATTTTCTTAATTTCAAGACGTCGATCCAATTGACCGTTATTACTTGGTCAAAGGACAACTAACCACCGATGTCCCCATCATAAGGAGAGGAAATTTTACAATTTTCAAGACTATAGTGCAATTGCAAACCTACTGCCAGATTTTAGTAATGAATACCAGTGTTTTAAATCTCCTATTTATACAAACTCTTATACAAGGAGAGTTTATATAAACTGACATGACATATTGCAAAGCATGTCATATAACATTAGAACCTAAGTAACTTAATGTCACATTAATGTTACGTGAACGCTTATATCACGTGACACTCACATGATGTATCACGTCATTTTGTACAAACTCTTTGTATAACTTTCTTTGTACAAAGAGTTTGTACAAATAGTTTTATCCTTTAAAACCCAATCAATTGAATCGACCCAGAGCCTTCATCAGATCGGATTACAAATTTAACTATTCATTGAAAACTCTAAATATTAGAACATCAATCTATGAACAATTGAAGACTAAAATGTTAAAATTTTTAAAGAGAAATGGCTAGTGAGAGTAATTGTGGCAACGACAGTGATTTCCGATGATTAAATCGATCGAATATCACAAAACTATGTCATCAGAAAAAGCCTATTGTTGCCAACGATTGAGGCGGCGAATAAAGGAGTGAGATTGGTTTTGGTCAAGAAGCTCAAAAGAGTGTTTTTGTGGTGATAGTGTTATCGTCACTGGAAACAAACCTTATTTGCCGACGTTAACAATGGTGTTTAAGGTGTTTTTGCAAAATTTCAAACCTATAAAGGCTTACAATAATGTTCAAAGTTATTTTTGTTAGATTTCAAACCTTTGAACACCGATCAACTTGGGGCCACTGTTTTAAACCCGAGACTGGACCGACTGGTTCAACCGATTCAACCAAGACTCAAACAGATGTTCGGTCCGAGTTAATATTAAACCCACTTATATGTAACAAACCGTTTTGACCCGCTATAAAACTAGATAAAAGGTGAACCGTTTGATCCAACCAGACTTTGCCTGGAAAACCGGTTCTCTATTTCAAAAAGAAAAAAACTTTCTTTGTTAAAGTCAAGAAGAAGAAGTAAGAGGAAGGGAAGGAAGAAGTGGCCGATTTGGACCTTTTGACTAGATTGCGATAGCCAAGGCCTTCTTGGCAAAGTGATAGAAAAGAGAAGAAAATGACCGAGGAGAGAGAAAAAAGAAGAAAAGTGATGGAAAAAGAAGAAGTGATGGAGAGAGAATAATAAATGATAAATATAAGACATGATCAATTGTTTAGCAATGTTAGACCTGTTAAACGAAATTGGGTTAAGGAATGATTCGGTTTTTAAAACAATGCCGGGCCCATCCACTTTGCTGCGTTTCAACCCAGATGGGGTTTGAGTGTTTTCAATTATTACGACTCACAAACCCAATAATACGGTAATAATTTACTTCCATTGACAGATAAGCGGAATACCAAAAGATTAAAACAAACGAGAAAAGAGATCACTATTTTCAATCCATTAATTCAAAAACAAGTCAAGTTAGTTCGTACAATCAGATATATAATTGCTCATGCAGTTCCGAATTGCCATACTCAGGGACATTGGGATTACACTTCTAGTACCATCCAATTAAATATAAGCTAACATTCCTCCATGTTAGATCCGTGGCTTCCGCAGGTCCAAAAACCAGACAATAACGATGATTTGATGTTGAGGATTAGACCAAGAAAGCACTGGGACTTTTTGAGCATTACTTGGATTATGTCACAAGGTTCAACACGCAACTGATATTTCACAAAGTGATTCACCACATAACAATACACAACCACACCTCTCATTTATGCACATACATGCAATTCAAACCACATTTTTTTCAATTTCATCAACTCCAAAACTGCATCAACCATGATAGGTAACTGATGGGTCTAAATATAAAATTCTGGGCATCCACATATCCAATTGCACACTAATCCAGGCAAGCGAGAGAACTAATTTATGCTAGAGCAGCAAGAGAATATAAAAAAAAAAAAGAGTAGAGACTAGATCAACCGTACATTTCTTATCAAATACCGACCTAGGAAGGGTTAATTCTTACCTCCATTCAAAATGCCAAACAGATATATCATCCTCTCACTCACATCAAGAAAGGCAA